ATGAAATCAAGTGTCAAGTAATTTTCCAACATTACTTGGAAAAAATCTTGNCTCCTTCTCTTTTTCTCTCTTCCTCCCTCCTCTCCTCTTTCTCTCCCTTCCACCCACCTCCTTACTTCTCTCTTCTTCCCCTACCTCTCCTCCACATTTCTTCTTCCTCTCCTACTCTCTCTCTCTCTCTCTTCCACCCTCCACTTCTTTCCTTTCATTCGTCCCTCCGTTCTCTACTTCCTTCCTCCCCTCCCCTCCTTTCCTTCCTTCTTCCCTTACTTTCTTTTTCTATTGTTATAGGTGTCTCTTTCAAATCTGGTTTATGTTTTCTTGAGGGTGTTATTTCCACAAATAGGGTGTTATTTACTATTAATATTTACTTTTAAGTGAGGATGATCTCCAATATTCCAAGAGCTCCTCAATTCTCTAGAACTGGGGTATCAAACTCAAGGCCCACAGGTTGCTTAAATGTGGCCCATGGGGCTGGACTGGAAATATCAAAGCACCAGCCCACGGTGCCTCTGCTGGCCAAAATGGGCCATGGGGACCAGCGTGTGCCTCCCCCGTGGTTATTCTCGGCCTCCCCAGTCTCCTGCAGCACTCTGTCAGCTGAAAATAGGCTGCATGGAGGACCCGCAAGGCCCCCTTCTAGCCAGTTTTCAGCCTCCCCAACCTCCAGCAGTACTCTTCCAGCCAAAAATGGGCCACACAGAGTCCCCATGCAGCCCATTTTTGTCCGACAGAGTGCTGCAGGAGGACTGGATTGGATTGGATTGCAATTATGTGACCTCGAGCTAAATGCCTTATCTGGATAGAAAGCAATGTTCTATGTTAATACTACAATTTAATGCCAGATTTTACATAGTGTAGGCCCATTTAATCTACAATCAACAATATATAATTGACAATCATTTCTATCCTGCAATTATCTCTGCTGTTATATCTTGTATTATCATGTTATTCATGCTATAGTATTTTTATTATTAGTTGAATAATAAAAATACAATAGTATGAATAGATTTTCTGCCTGGAAAAGCCATTTATTATACAATGGGGTATAAATTGAGAAATAAAAATTTAGTGGCATATGAAGAATAAGTAATAAATGTTTGCCAGTAATATCTGGTAGAAGGGATAGGAAAATGATTATAGTAAAGAACTGTGGAAATAAAGAAGAGAAGGGGGAAAATGCATCTTGAGCCTGTGTCAAACATCCACCATGGCCATGCCCACCATGGCTAAACCCACCCTGACCATGCTCATCCCGGCCCTCTGAGGTCAAATACGACCCTGATGCAGCCCTCAATGAAATCGAGTTTGACATTCCTGCTCTAGAATGATTTTTGAATTTCTTCTGAGGTAGGGGGCTCCCAGTATGGAAAGTACAACTTTTGGAAACAAGATTGTCAGTGCAAAAACATCTCATTGTGTTAAAAGGATTTAATTTCTGATTCTGTGTTTGGGGTATAACCTTTGCTGCTTCACTGTTACTTAAGTACAGTGACGTGCGGAGAGGTTTATGGCTTTTGAGGCAAGAGGGCAAAAGCTGCTCTATGGTGGACATGGCGGCAGGGCTTTAAAGTCCCGGCGCCGTGTCTGCCATCTTGCTGTATGGCGGACACGGTGCCGGGACTTTAAAGCCCTGCTGGAGCCGTGTCCGCCATACAGTGGGACGTGTCCCGCTCGACGGCGCTCATCTTCCGGGCACCTGGAGCCAAGACCGCCCAGGCCGCAGGGTATTTGGAGGGGGAACGCAGGATCGGAGATGCGGGAGGTGGAAGAGCTGGCAAGGGTCCTCTGGCACAGTTGAGCAAGCAACGGGCCCTTCCAAAAAGCACTAGGAGAACCCGAGGCTGGTGCTGTGTTATATTAAACAAATAAAAGTGGCGGCTTCAGGAATAGGCAGATCAGCTGCTTTTATCTACAGTAGCCGCCCTGCCACTATGTCCAAATTAAAGCCCTGGCCTGCTGCTATGTCCAAAAGCCCTGCCGGCCACTATGTCCCACATAAAAAATAAAATGCCAGCCCACGTGCCAGCAGAGGCAGGTAAAACACACACACACACACACACACACACACACACACA